TTGCCGGCTGCGCCATGGCCGAAGGCAGCGTCTTCAGCCTGGGGGGCCTGCAGCAGCCCGGGCCCCACAACTTCTACTCGCGCCCGCACTTCGTCAACACCGTGGAGACGTTCGACCTGGAGCGCGGTGAGCAGGGCGGTCCTGGGTGTCCTCCCGCCGTGGAGGGCCCGTGGGGCCGCCCTGACCTCTCCTCCCCTCCCCTCCCCTGCAGGCTCCTGGACCAAGCTGCCCCGCGGCCTGCGCATGAGGGATAAGAGGGCCGACTTTGTGGTCGGCGCCCTTGGGGGCTATATTGTGGCTGTGGGGGGACTTGGTGAGTCTGCGGGGCTGGGATGGGGAGCCCAGGGCAGGAAGGAGTGGCCTCCAGTGTGAGCACCACCTGCTGTCTCTGGGCTCAGGGCTCGGGGCTTGTGAGCTGCCCTTTCCGATCTGGGGAGCCAGCGAGGGTGTCCTCAGCCCCTGACTGAATTGTGTGCCAGCGGGGCCTCGGGGCCACGGAGTGAGTGGCAGGTAGAAACAGGAGTGCGCACACGAAGGGTGAGGAATGGGCAGGAAGCAGCAAGGTCCTGACAGTCCGTCCAGGGCGATGTCTTCTGGCCACACGCTGGGTTCAGGGGGCAAAGGAGCTGGCGCCCCTCAGCCTGTGCCTCCCAACCGCTGTCTCCTACAGGGAACCAGCCGTGCCCGCTGGGCTCCGCGGAAGGCAAAACTCTTTGCTAATGAATTATTCCAAAGGAAAGACACAGCGAAGGGAGACCTTAACCTATCAGACAAGACCTCCAGGTTCACTAGCAGAGTCAGAATAACAAGAATGCTCTGGTCTAAAGTTGCTTTGCCCGGCTGTTTGTCATCGGGGGCGTGGCACAGGGTCCCAGCCAGGCCGTGGAGGCTCTGTGTCTGCGTGATGGGGTCTGAATCCTGCGGGGACCTTGGCCCCTGGGGCAGCTCAGGGCCAGAGGCAGCTGCTCTGTGGGATGGAGACGCGGGCGCTGTGACACAGCCGTGGGGACGGGCGGGAGGCGCCGTCCGTAGCATAGGGTACCCATACGCTTCCACCACCTCACCCCCTTCACTCATGGGCCAGGCCTCCCCGACCCTTGCTCTGGGACCTACGGGCCGGGCCCTCTGTCCGATTGGGAAGTGGGGGAGGGAAGAGCCGGCCTCAGCCCTGCACGGTCAGTGCCCGCCTGGAGTCGACCAGGCCTCCCCGTGACTACTCCTGAGAAGTCCTGGCTGCCAGCCGCCTTGGAGGCCCCTGGGGACCCAGGAGAGTTGGGGAGGGTGGGGGACACAGAGGGAATGGAAGAGCAACCGCAGGAACCTCCAAAGGGTCAAAAACGTTAGCTTTGGGCCCTTTACACTGTTGGCTGTGTGACCTCGGGCCAGTCATTTCACCTCTCTGTGCCTCAGCATCCTCACCTAAACGGGGATCTCCGAAACCTTCCTGCCCCACCTACCTCACAGGGCTGTTGTGAGGACCCAGGAGTTCAGATATGGAAGTAAAGATGCTGCTAAAAGCTGGTGCGTGGCCTGGTATGGACTCCTGTCCCCCGCAGCCCTGTCCTCCTATGGGGCTTCCGTTGTCCCAAGGATAAGGGTCAAGAAGAGCCTTTTCGATCGGCCGCTGCACCCCAAATGTCTGCTGTGTCAGCCCCTCCTTCAGCCTCAGATTCTCCTTGGGGACCCAGGGCGGCCACTGTCCCGCTGTCCCAGATGGTGGGGTCCTCGCAGGACGAGCAGAAAATGACCACACACCGCGCGGGCAGGACGCTCCCCAGGCCTGGGCCTCAGCATCTCGGCCACACCTTGCTCGCCGCCGGAGGTCTCGTGGGGTGTGGCGGACAGTCTCCCTCCGTCCCAGCTGCAGGGAAGCCGTCTGCTGGGCAGGACTGTGTAGCCACCGCCAGACCCCGAGAGGCGAAGCTCCCGAGAAGCCAAGCTGCTGGCCCTCGCCTCCTCGTCCTGGCTTCGCTGCCCTTTCTGCAGTTTCACTGAGAGTGAGGGGTTCACAGCTGGGTTTGCTGCAAGAATGGATTTGGGGGTCCCAGAACCCATCTGCTGTGGCCATGGTAACCCTCCTGGACCCATAGCCTCCTGCTGGCTGTGCCCCTTCTCACTCAACGGCAGAGCTCCCAAGGCAACACCCCCCTGCCCAGCACATAGACACCAGGGGCACCAGTGCCATAGGAGCCGGGCATAAGGCCTGGCAGTGTCTTACTGCGCTCCAGCTCTGCGCCCTCCTGGGCTATAAGCACAGGCCAGGGAGGCCTCAGTGTCAGCCATTCTTTTCTTGTTAATTCTCACCTGAGGATATTTTCCCATTGATTTTTAGAGAGTGGAAGGGAGAGAAAGAGACAGAGAGAGAGAAACACGGATGTGAGAGAGACACATCAATTGGTTGCCTCCCACATGCACCCCGACTGGGGCCGGGGATCAAGCCTGTAACTGAGGTACATGCCCTTGAGGTACATGCTGTTGACTGGAATCGAACCCACGACCCTTCAGTCTGCAGGCTGACGCTCTATCCACTGAGCCAACTGGCCAGGGCAACAGCCAACCTTGTTTAATGCTCTGGACCAGTTTAGACACTCGGAGACGCCCTCATGAAGGTAATGCTGCAGCGGTTTGGACCCGGGGATCTTTGGGAGGTTAGTCGGGGTACTGTGGCCGGAGGCCGGGGGGCCCCCGCAGTCGCCGCCACAGTGGCCGCTCTGGGATGGCTGGCAGAAGTTCTGCTGGTAGGTGGTACAGGTGCGGGGGTGGTGGACCTGCACAAAGTGGACGAGGCGCTGAGGGGCGTCGCTGGGTCCCGGGGATAACCGGAAGGTGGACTGGTAGGAGGATTCCAGGGGCCGCTGTGGGTACAGCTCCAGCTCGCTGGAGGCCCAGTGCAGGAAGGTGTGCCGCTGACACAGGCGCTCCATGTTTTTCCGTCTCCCGATGCCCTGCAGTAGGCAGTAGGGACCCTCCTCAGCGGTACGGGCCCTTGGCCCACAGTCCTAGCACCAGGCTTGGCCTTGGGTGCCCCTAAAGCCAACCTGCCCAGTGATGCCTGGCTGTGCCTGGCCTGAACCCCGCCTCTGGGCCTGCCTCCATTCCGGAGTGAGGCCCCAGACCGCCAGTGGCCCCTGGGAGGCTTGCACAGAGTCAGGCCGGCTGGCAGGGGAGGCACAGCAGCTGTTTCCCTGCTCAGCACCAGCCTGGCCCGCTCCTCCTCTCCTCCCCTCCCGCCCTGCCTCCCCCACTTCCCTGCCTGGCCCCCTCCTCTCCCGCACTCACCTTGTCGAAGGAAGTGCGGTTGTCGTGCTTGGAGAAGAAGTGCTGCCGCACTGGCTCCTGGAAAGAGAGGAAGGTCATGGGGGAAACGGTGCTTCCCTGCCCCGAGGTCTTCCCTCAGGACCCACAATGGAGGGAAACCGTCCTAACCTGCTAGCCTGCTGCCACCCCCAAAAGGCAGATACTAACGAAAGCAACACCTCACTCTGGGCCACCTCAGGACCTCCTGCCCTAGGGCGAGTGGTCAGGCTTTACGGGAGCCCCCACCAACACATCGCCCAGGAGTAGGCGTGGTTCTCTCCTCCCCTCTCTCCACACCTACTCCCCCATCAGCAGCCCAAGCTCCTCACCCTGAACACCACCTGGAAATGGACGTTTTTCTCTCTAGTCCAAGCTCCTTTCTGAATTCCAGACCCAGCAGCTAACGGAGACATCGAATGCAGCGGTCGCCAACCGGTGCTCCGCGCTCCACTGTGGTCCGTGAGGTCCGGAAGGTTGGCGACCGCTGGGCTAATGGGCATCTCAAGCCCATGGCTGAGCTCGGGATCATTCCCCAGCCCACTCCGGCTACAGCCTCCCCCCTCAGGCCACGGCAGCTGGATCCAGCCAAATGCGCTTGATTCCTCCTCTCACCTTACCCCCAAGCGCCAGGAATCCTGCTGTCCTTCAACATGCACCAGGCCCGGAGCGCGCCTCAGCATGGCCACCGCTTCCCGCCACCTTCCTCTCTGCCGGAGTTACTGCAAGAGCTCACCCCTGGGATCCCTGCTCCTGAGCTTGCTCCCCATCTGCTGTCCTCTTAGCAGGCAGAATAACTCTTTTAATGCCTGAGTCCGTTCACAGCCCTTGTTTGCCAAAGGTCCCTCTTGTTTGTAAAAGCCAAGTCCACCTCCAGCCTTTGAGATTTTTCTGGCCATGACTCCTCCTCCCCTTCTTCTTGGGAAGTCTTCCTCCAGCACTGAGCACCACCCCAGCAGTCCCATTACCCCAACTCTGCATTTCTCACCTTCTCCCATCTACATGACCATCTATTCTGGCTGCTTATTGTCTGTTCTCTCTGCCTTGCTCACATCTGTAACTCCGTCCGTCCGGAGAACAGTGCCTGGCCCAGTGCAGGGCCTGGGCTGATGAGCTCAGTCTTGGCTGGGCTGGGGAGTGAGCAGTGGCTGATGGCAGGTTCCCAAGTCAAAGGCAGGGGCAGCTTCATCCCTGATCTCTGAACCAGAGTGTTCAGGGCGGGGCCTGTGTATGTGCCTTTGACAAGCTCCTCCACGGGGACCTCCGCCTTAGACGGTGAGAACAGGTCTCCACCCAGAATAAAAGGGCCAGGAGGGTGGGAAGCCAGCCAGCCTTACCTTTCAGTCCTCATAACAAGCTGACATCACAGGGATTAAAAACCCAGGGCCCTTTTAGAAAAGAAACAACAGGAGAAAATCCTCAGAATCTAAAGCCAGACAAAGTTCGTAGACTTGATCCATAAAAAAACTGATAAATTGGGCCTCATCAAAATGAAAAACTTTTGTTTTGTGAATGTCCATTTGAAGAGGCTAAAAAGACAAGCTACAAACTTGGAGAAAATATTTGCAACCCACATACTCAGTTAAGGACTAATACCAGAACCATAGAGCCCTCTCCCAGCTCCACAGTAAAATAACAAACTATCCAGTTAGAACCCTGGCTAATGACAAAGACATCTCCCCAAAGAGGATATGCAGATGGCAAGGACACATGAAAAGAAGCTCACCATCATTAAACATTTGAGAAATGAAGATTAACCGCCACGTGATGTCACAGCACATCCATCATAATGACTAAAATAAGAAATAGAGCCGGCGACAAGTGTTGGTGAGGATGGAGAGAAACTGGGTCCCCTACACATGGCTGGGGGGAACGGGAAAGCTACAGCTACTCTGGAAAAGTTTGGCCGTTTGTTTTTAAAACTAAACATACAACTCTTCTATGACCCAGCAACTGCACTCCTGGGCATTTATTACAAAGAAATGAAAACCTATATTCACCCAAACCTGTACACAAATGGTCACGGCAGCTTTCGCTGTAAGAGCCAAACACTGGAATCAGCCCCGATAGAGTCTGTAACAGGTGAAGAGTTAAATGAACAGGCACATGCATGCCACTGACTACTCAGTAATGAAAAGGAATGACTGACGCATCGACACACACACAGCTGGGTGATGTGTAGGAAATCACGCCGCGTAAGGAAAACCAATCCTGACAGTTGCACGCTCTATCCTTCCGGTTAGGTGACACTTTGAAGTGACAACATTTTAGAAACGGGAGAGAGTGGTGGATGCCAGGGGTTAGAGACAGGGAAGGCGGAGAGCGGGGGACGGTGGGTGTGGTCATAAGAGGGCAGCACCAGGGACCCTGGTGATGTGTCTTGACTGTGGTTGGAATACACAAACCTACACCGGCAAGAAAAAGCTATAGATCTTCATACCCACACACAAGCACAAGTCAGGCTGGGGAATCCGGGCGAGACAGGTGAGTGCATGCCTGTCAGTGTCCTGGCTGTGATGTTATTACTATAGCTTTGCACAGCGTTACCAGTGGGGGAGACTGAGCAAAGTGTGGAAGGGCTCTCTATGACTTCTCACAACTGTTTATGTATCTTCAATCGTCTCAATACAGACTTGAACTTAAAACCCCTGGGGGCCTGGGAAAACTATGGTCCTCCCCCCCCACCCAGCTCGGAGTGTCTGCCCAGCACTTCACCTACATCTTTGTTCTAAACCATCTAGGGCTCCTTTTCCACCAAGTGGTGAATCCATGGTCTCTGAGCAGGGGGCGCACAGGGGCTGGGGGGCTCAGGCTGAAGAGGCCTTGGGGGGGGTCTCCTGAGAGGGGCCGTTTGCATGTGGGAGGCAAGGGCCCCGCGGAGGCGGCCAGTCTGCAGCCACCGGTGTGGAGGGCAGACCCTCTGTGCTGCCTGAGGGTGTTGGACAGGGACCCACAGTTGTGGCACCCCCAGTGGCCCGCCCCACCATGACCCAGGGCTAGAATGACATTTCCCAAGAGTCAGGCAGGTGAAGGCTAGAAATCAATCAGCCTGGTTTGGAAGAAAATGGAATTGTTTTGTGTCTTAATGACATGGATAAGATGCCTACATGCCACGTGAGAGGAGAGGAGAGTGGCTGCTACCCGTGGAAAGGTTTTAACTACAGCTGTAGTGAGACAGGTGCGGTGAGACAGCTGCAGTGAGAGCTGTAGTGAGACAGCTGCAGTGAGACAGGTGCAGTGAGACAGCTGCGGTGAGACAGGTGCAGTGAGACAGCTGCGGTGAAACAGCTGCGGTGAGACAGGTGCAGTGAGATGGGTGCGGTGAAACAGCTGCAGTGAGACAGGTGCGGTGAAACAGCTGCAGTGAGACAGGTGCGGTGAAACAGCTGCAGTGAGACAGGTGCGGTGAAACAGCTGCAGTGAGACAGGTGCGGTGAAACAGCTGCAGTGAGACAGGTGCGGTGAAACAGCTGCAGTGAGACAGGTGCGGTGAAACAGCTGCAGTGAGACAGGTGCGGTGAAACAGCTGCAGTGAGACAGGTGCGGTGAGACAGGTGCGGTGAGACAGAGGTGCAGTGATGGGTGCGGTGAGACAGGTGCAGTGAGAGCTGCAGTGAGAGGTTCGGTGAGACAGCTGCGGTGAGACAGGTTTGGTGAGAGGTGCAGTGAGAGGTGCAGTGAGAGCTGCAGTGAGACAGGTGCGGTGAGCCCGCAGACCCCCCCTGCCCGCGCCCACCTTGCATCGCTGCAGGAAGATTGTTGGGGGCTGGGGCTTGGCTGCCAGGCGGTACTCGAGGGCGCTCTCATTCTTGAACTGGCCTCGGTAGTGCCCATAGAAGCCATTGTTGTGCTGCAGCAGAGGAGGCGGGTGGAGTGAGGCCTACACACCCACCCCACCCACTCCCACAACCACCCCCAACGCACTCCCACTCCCACTCCGAGCCTCCACCCAGGGCCCCAGAGGCTCGAGGCCGCTCGTGGGAGTTTCTGACCCAACAGAAAGCACCCGAGGTGGGGGCGCCCTGGAGAGGGCTGGCGGGAGATGGAGCTTGGGCCTGCGGG